CCTCCTTCTCCTTAAATAGCTCTCAGCCACGTTTGAAGGATCCTAACCAGCCTCCGAGATTTGCTCCGTGAGTTGGGGGATTCTCAACAGTCTCCTTTTGACCGGGTCCTGCGCAACCAGCCTGAGCTACTCCTGTTAGCTCCTTGTAAATGAGGTCCGGAGCTCTCCTCCGTGACCTGTTTATAGATGAGGTCCGGAGTTCTCCTCCGTGACCTGTTTTGTTGACGTTCCTTCCTTAGCAAAAACAGCCTCCGGCTTCTTTTTGACTCTTTTCTCAAAAGATTAATTGCCAATGGGCTTACAGTGGCCCATAGTCAACTCTTATCGTTCTAGCCCATTAGTCTCAGCTAGCGGGCCATATTTGGGCTCAACAGAACTCCTTATTCCTTAATGATGAAATAAATAGCAAAGAAGTTAGTTGGTAAATAGAGTAACGTTCTTTTAGGTAAATGATTTCATTTTAATAAGCAGCCAAATGAGTTGAGCTCGTTTATATATAAATGACCTAACCAAGGCAAACAAAAAACATAAACCAAACGAGAAGGGTAAAATTGGTTTATACTATACGAAAGGAGCTAATGGGCTCAATATAGAGAAAAAAGTGTACAAATGAAACTATACACATCCTTTAATTTAGGGTGAAGATTTTATTCTTGGTTACCCAAACCACTCAAGATGAGTAATACAATGACTGTTTGATGTTAAAAATAATTAGGGTGAATACATCTTGCTTATTAATCTTCGAAAAAGAGTTGGACATAGAATCTAAATAAAAGCATAAACTAACTACAGAATGTTACAAAAAAAACAACTACAGCAAATTGATTTTCAAATGTGACTAAGCACACTGACTTATAATGTATGGTAGAGTGATTTGCAAGCACATAAGTTTACAAGTAAGGTGACGATAATCTCCATCAACCAATTCACTTCTTATATCATAATTTTTCTGGTCGAGAGATATTGCATACTAGAACGTGAAAATAACATAATTAATCAAGATTGATATAGCTCATAATTATTACTCTCTACTGTATGTCAGTTTCGTGTGTTTTTGTCCCAACTTGTACAGAGACACACATTATTTATTTATTTATTTTTGTTACTGGACACCCATTATTTTCTGTAAATAGATTATTCATCTTAAATTCTCATGTGTCAAACATCTTAAAGCTTGTAAGAAAAATACGAACCTCACATCATGCACGAAGCCAAAACGATAAAGGTGGGAACTGTTTTCACTTGCGTATGGTTGAGGTTGAGAACTTTGAAATATAAATTTTGGAGATGTTAATGAACTATGCCACTCATCGTTTCCGTGGTCCATCAAGCTTTAAAGTTCTACGACGGTGAGTTTAATTTCGTATTTGGCTGCTTCCCTCCATGAACACGTCGCTATACATATCACCACAAAACTTTTATCACAATTATCGAGACGACAATACACTACTCATCTAGAAGATTCTTCTCCGGTTGGCAAAAATCTAAGTACATTGTCATTAATCTCAGTCGGATACTAATTAATAGTTACGTATTAAAAATTGAAAACACTAACCTGTTATTTTCATGACTTGACGGGGAAAATCATATTGGTTGCAACTTGCAAGACTTTGGGAAGGGATAATGAAATCAACCCTTATCTCTTTTCAATGAAAGGAGAAGACTTATCGGTTTATTTGCCGAGTAAATGTTTCAGTTTTACACCATCGTATCATCTTGTGTAGCGGTCTCTACGACTACGAGTCCAAAATTAATAACCTGTCTCGTACTTCAGTTCCTCCATCGGTGAGAACTTGGTTTCAGTGTCACTTTTACATGTGACCAAATTTCATTTGTCCAACCTAATCGTGAAGGCTTTATCGACACATTAAAACTTTGAATCTGTTGTCACCTTCTTATGTAGGTTTATTTTAGCCTCTTGCTTATGTAGTTTATTGTTGTTGTCAAAGAAGATGGTTAATTAAGTTATGTTTCAAAAGTGAAGTCAACCCAAAAATCAAATCAAAACATGCATAGCACATCTTTGAACATTGCCTAGCTCTCTCAGTCAATCAAGCGAGTATACCTGCTCTTGCGAAAAGATAAACGTCCCACATCTGAATGATACATTATCTTACTTATATCATTTACATTAATTCTAAATGTTCACCATTTTTTTTCCACAAACTGATATGACACCAGTGGAAACATCCTTCATTTGTGCCCAAACGGATAGGATATGAAGGGAAGGGAAGGGAATCAGAGATGGGAATGAAACTTTTGCAAAAACAGTAAATACAGCCAAATTAAAAAAAATCGCACTAAAAAAAAAAATTTCGCACTAGAAAGAAGTTTTTATTATTCTGTTATTGAGTTTCTGTTAATAAAACATTTTTAAATGGTTGCTAGCTTTTATTTAATCCAAACTATTAACACTATATATGAGAATATTCCTTTTTTCGTTGACATTTCTCCTGTGTGCTACTTAAAAAAGGTTGATATTTCTTAGTGCTTTCCTAGAAAGCACTATAATCGTCGACCAAACGAAGTTCCTTTAAATTTGGTTGATTTTAGGTCTCACATTTAGTAGTAAACTTGTTCTATAAAGTAGAAAGAAATACTTTCTTCAACCTGTGATCTCATATCTCATCGAATCTGGTTAAAGTTTATTCTGGTCTACCTCGACAGAAAAAGGTATGTTCAGTTTCTTTTAATTTATTCAGATATAAAATCCACTAAATTAACTTAATATTTCGGTTAAGATTTTCTACACTGAAACTGGTTGTCTTATGTAGTTTTTATTTTCTGGGTTTGTTTTTCCAGTTTCCAACAATGATATGGTTTACAAATATATGTGAATTTTGTCAAAAGAAGAAGAATATATGTGAAGAGATGATGTATTATTATTTTGTATAAACCTGAATTAAATTTTTGTTCAATTTTCATTTTGTTCTTCCCCGTTTAACTTATACTTACTGTTGTTTGCAATTGGCAATGTAACATATAGAAAGAGAACAAGAAGAAGAAGTGAAATGGGAGGAGGAGCGAGGGAGGCTGATATTTTCAGCACTTCAGGCCTCAACCATCTTAGACGTATTGATTGGTAAATATTTTTCTTATACTTGGAATATTTAAGGTGTAGAAGCTAAATTTTAGATTTTACTATGTGATCTAATAAAGCTATGTTTTCATACACAAATTTATAAACATATTGCGCTCATCCCTTGTTGATGCTATCTAGTAATTATAATCTAAACATAGTTTGCTTTGTTATTAATATATAGGTTAGACTTCTATGTTCGAACCGCAATGATAGCAAGTTTGGTGCAGGGAGTCTACTCATTGCAACGGGATAAGCAACAGAAACGAAAATTCATAGCCAACCCTTATTGGGAATCCTTCGGTTTCTCTTTAGCCGAAACCTTGATCAACAAAGATGATGGCTCCATATTTGGTGCCGTTTACGAGTATAACGACTACCATAATAAACCTCATTGTGGAATGCCGCGTTGCGTGATTGCATTTCGCGGCACGATGCTAGAATTAGTAACCTGCTTGTCTGATATGAAAGAAAACATTCGATGCATTTTAGACAACTTTAATAACGGCAGTAGGATTAAACAAGCCATAAAAGCAATCGATGCAGTGCTGGAGAAGCACAGTACCGACAAAACATCTGTCTGGCTAGCTGGACACTCTCTAGGAGCGGCCACAGCGCTATTGGCTGGGAAGACCATTGCCAAACGTGGAGACATCCTCAAGACTTACGCATTCAACCCGCCCAGTTCGTCTGTTCTTCTAGAGAATATATTTGATAGCGTTGTGGTTAAAGGCATGCTTCGATTGGCCGAGACTCTCATCAAAGTGACCATAGTCAAATTCTCGGACATCGAGGTGAATAATATACTCATCTTTTTTAGTACGTAAGAGCTTTAATTTTTTCCAATGAAAAATTCACCTAGTGATTAGAACTCTTAAAATAAAAATAAAAATAAAAACTCTTGAATCACTTAATGAAAGTTGTAAAATTTATAAATTCGATTTCTGTTGGGAGAATTAAATTTGCTTTCCTAAGAAAATTAATTTAACATGGAATGTGTCTCACTCTAGAAAATGTAAGGAGAGTTATATTTAACCAGAGTTTAACCCGCGTGTCTGAGCAGTTATTATTTTTTTTATTTTTATATAAATTAATATTTACTTTTAATGATTAGTGTTATATATTTTAATTTTGTTACCATATAATTAATTGTATATCAGTTATTTGAATATTTTTGAGTTTCCATTAATACCTAAATGGAATCTAATTTAAAATCATAAAAGCTATATATTTGAAAGAAAAGATCTTTATTCGAAGGGATACCTTAATGTACATGCCGAATAGATTCTGTAAAAAAAATATTTTAATCGTTTTGAATGCTTGTTCCGAATGAGAAATTTCACAAACTTGTCGAATTGTAATGTTTAACATATAAAATAAACTCTATCAAATTATTATGTTAAAAATTAATAAAATAGTTAGGAAAAGTCAAAATATAATAAAAACACCTAAATAGGTAATTATTGTATGGTATTTTTTGTAATAAATGTTGTAGAATTATTTAGAAAAGATAATAAATGAAATGTTTATAGTGATTTGGAAAAGACAATAAATGAACTAGTTAGAAGTTTATATATAATAGTACACTTTCAAAGCTTTCCAAGGTGTCCACGTCAGCATTTTATGGGCCCCACACGTTTAATTTTTAAAAGCCTATACTCTTTTTAAAATGACTATGAATACACTTTAGCCGAGTGGTATATGACATCTAATTAAGTTCGCAAGCGTGTGTGTTCAAACCACGCAGCTGTTATGTATTTTTACACACTAGAAACTATATTATAGTTTAATTATTCCTATAAACTACTTCGCATATAAATAACATTTAACACTCTTGTTATATTCTTTCCATTTCATCATTATTTGGTGTTATTAGAAGAACCCACTAAACCAACAACAACAAAAAACACATACAAACATCAATGATCCCGGCTTCGCGGTTGAGGAGGGTGTATGCAACTAATTAGTTTAAAAAGAAAGAAAATGTGTAAAAAAAATCACTTAAAAATAGATAAGTATTGTTTACACTTCTCTTTTAATAGAATGGATAAATTGCGCCCCTGGTAATCTCGGTGTAGAAAATTCACTTTACTTTTTTTTCACCATGTTGATAGTTAGCTTTAGTTAAACCATAAACTAAAACAATTAAACTGGATCCTCTCTTAATAATTTACTTTATTCTATTATCTTTAACTATTACAGATTCAAGAAGACGATCCAAGCACAACAGCGTGGACACCTTACATATATGTGAACCCATCAGATCCATTCTGTGCTGAATACATCGGTATTTTGTCCCACAAATGCTTCATGGCTGCTATTAAATTAGGCAAACTAGAGAGTATCGCTGCTAAATTCTCTTTTATGAGTCGTATATTATTCGGAGAAGAAGGAGGAGAACCTATTCAACTTTTTTCGTCAGTCGAAATGACAATAAACATGAACAAATCTGATCTTGAGACAGATGATCATGGGGATAAGCAGTCCTGGTCTAAGTTCAAGAAGGCACATGGAATTGAGCAATGGTGGGAGCCAAATCCAGCCCTTCGCAAATGGAAAAGCCACAGCTTTAGGCCCTCTTATTAACTATGTCTGGGCGTGGAGCCAACATTCTATTAGTATGCTTTGGTTAAACGCCTTTTCCATCTATTCAGGTTTCTATTAGTATGCTTTGGTTCTATCTTCCCTTATTCGGATTTGTCAACTTTTCTTTGTGGTGTTCGTGTTTTCTATAATGTTGGAAACGTTTGTTGTAAAAGCTCTTGGATTATTTTATTTTTGTCGCCAACCTCTTTGAAATAATGCTACTAAAATGAGAAATGTGTAAATTGTTTACTAGATGATTTCCTGCAGCGAATATATAATAACTCTTAAAATATGTTATATTTTGAAATATATATTTTTATTATATGTAGTTTTAATTTTATTAAATTTTAAAAGTATAAAGTGATCATTTTTAATTTTTAATTTATTTCAAATTTCCTAAGATGATTGTAATTAAATTACTATAATTTAATAAACTAATTCTTAACGATTATAAAAATTAGATTAGTTTCTTTTTTATCAAGAATAAAATTTAATCATTTTTTTAATAAAAATATTTAACTTATAAAAATACTTATTAAACCTAATGAATCGAATGCTAATCACTCAATTAAATTATTTTATTGCAAATCAATTTTAAATACAATTCAATAATCTAGAAACTTGATTAGCTTTATCCTTATATTTATATTGAGTAATAAAATTAATTATAACTTTACTTATTTACTATCCCCAAAAAGTATAAATACTTATATATATTTTTATCTTTGATATGATAATAAAATTATTAAAATGCCTAAAATCTTGTCAAAATGTAAATATTTATTATAAATTTATCATGTTACAATAATCTTAACATGATGTTATAAATTTGGAAAATAGTATTATAAAAAAATATGATAGTGACACAATATCTTATTACAAATATATAAAATATGTAAAACACTTATAAAATATATTAAAAATAGTATTATATAGATGTTTCTCATTAGAAAATTCAAATCATATATAATGAAATAATGAATATTTTTTACTGACGTGCATAGTATGTCAGTTTATAATAAATTTTATATAAAATTTAAGTTATTTTATATTATAATACTTTTAACTGTGGTAATTATTATATATTTATGGTTTATTTTCTAATTATTGAATTAGGTGTTATGTTCATACATGCGGGTTTAATTTTATTATGAATACTTATTAGTTTATTTTTTATTAATCTAAAAATAATCAGTATAAGTTATTATTTCTATTTTTTAAAAGCTTACATCAAATTATTTATATATGACAATTTTTCATTAAAATAAATATCCTTATTATTGTGTTGAAAATTTTAAAACATTCACATAGTAGAAATATTACTGAAAACATCTTTATATATTTTTTTCTTTGATTAATATTTAATTATAAATTGTATTATTATTATATCTTAATTTTTAATTTTTATAATAGTAAAATATTATTTCAAGATAACAACACAATATATAAGAATTATCTTCTTTTAAAAAAGTATAATAATATTATTAATATAAATTATATAATAAACTATATAAAAACTCATAACATAGACATTAGCCATAAAAATATATTTTTATAAATGTTTTTATTTGATTAATATTTAATTATACATTATTCTATATCTTAATTTTAAAATTTGATAATAGTATAATATCATTTCAAGATAACAACTCACTATATAAGAATTATCTTATTTTTTAAAATATAACAATATTATTAATATAAATTTGTTTTTAATTATCTAATAAATTATATATAAAAATTCATTAAAAATATAAACTTTAGCAGTTTAAATTTTAACGTAAGAACTCGAAAGTGAAAAAGCACTGTGCAAATAATAGTATAAATTCCATGTTATAATTCATTATTACATATTATCCATGTCACCATTTTTAGTAGGAGATATCATTATTTATTTGTTATAATGATTTCGGTGAAAACATATAAGTTAATCACTTCTTAAATCATGTTTGAGGGGATAAGTAAATTAAGAAATTATGTAAAGAAATTATTTTAAGATGGAGTTGATGTGGACATATTTTCTAGTTTGCTGAAAAGAAGATTAGTGGGCGCAGAGGAAGAAATGCACCACTCTATTATTGTCATTTGTGGAACTCCTTAATGATGATTTAAATTGCAAAGAAATTATTTAGGGTCAATAATTAACGTTGTCGGTAATCAGAGTAACGTTCTTATGAGTAAATAATTTCATTTTAATAATCAACCATGCTCAGTTTCAAAAAAAAAAAAAAAATCAACCATGCTGGTTTATATGAATGACTTAACTAAGGCAAACCAAAAACATAAACCAGACGTGAAGGGTAAAATTGGTTTATCCTATATAATCAATCAAATGTACAGTTAAACTGGTTTATATAAATGACTTAACCAAGGTAAACCAACAACATAAACCAGACGAGAAGGTAAAATTGGTTTATACTATACGAATACGAATGGAACTGATGGATAGTAAATCTTTTTTTTGGTAAAATGCTAAATAGGGTGAAAATTTTATTCATGGTTACCCAAACGGCCAAACCTCTCGAGATTGAGTAAT